TTCCTGCGCCAACCTAGGGCTGACGTGAGTACAGACACTGAAATGTTTTGGCGCTGGAAGATGTACTTCTCCTAGGATAGCAGCTTGCTCGAGGATGGTTACTTTGTGTCTCCTTCTCGAAAGTGAAATTGCTGTTGCCAATCCTCCCAAACCTGCTCCAACTATGATTATCTCAAGCGGTAATGCGGCTTGAGGAGGGGTTGATGAGGGGGTGTCTGGTGCTGTGCCATCCAAGTGGCCATTGACAAGATCCACACCCTCTTGATGCTTGTCAAGATTGTGGAGAAACATAGTGCTTCTGGTTGGGTACGTAGGTTTGGGCATACATCTTGACGCCATTGTGATTGATTGTCTTTGAAAGGATGTGACAATGATCCAGAAGCAAGGCAAGCCCCTGGCATTAACTCTCAGACAGCGTGACTGAAAGGTATGGGATTCAGCAGTTTTATCATTTACATATAGCAATTCTGAACTAGGACGAGATGGAAACACAAAAGGGGGGCTCAACCTCGCCAAAAGTCTTACTGGGCCGTGACCAGTCGTTCAAGTCTCTGATCATAATTCCGACGCATCCCCGGTATCCCGGCATGCCGGTTGCAATCAGCAAAACACTTCGAGCCCTCCTTTTACCGGATCAGCATGATCGCGAAATTATGATTAAAACTTCAAGTGCTCTGACTTTATCAGGTGAAGTTGACTTTCTTTAGTGAATATACATAAGAGGCTTTCAGGTTCCACTACCATATTGGTTGAAAGCGCATACACATAACACAGAATTCTGCAAACCACTTCACTTTCCCGAATTTGATTCAACGCCGAAAAATGTCGAGTCAAACAGGAACAATTACAGCTAAAGCTGGTTTCAATCCCACGGATGATATCAGTAAGTTGATGTCTGGCCTCGAATCGACAAATGTCAAGCCTCTGTGGGCACAAATGACCAGACTCAACCCTCCGCTTCCCAACCCACAGACTATCCCATATCTCTGGAACTATGATGCGATCCGGCCACATTTACTTGAGGCAGGAAGACTCATCACAGAGAGACAGGCTGAACGGCGGGTTCTGATGCTTGTCAATCCAGCCCGATGTAAGTAAATCTCTATACAGTCATCTACGTCCTCGTCTAGTGGCCTATACTTACATCTGATAGCTGCACCATTCACCACAGACACTCTCTACGCAGGCCTTCAACTGGTCATGCCAAATGAGACCGCCCCAGCCCACAGACACACGGCCTTTGCGATGCGTTTCATCATCGAAGGCTCGGGCGGCTTCACCGCAGTCCACGGGAAGCGCATCAACATGCAGCGCGGCGACGTGATCCTCACCCCCACCTGGAACTGGCACGATCATGGGAAGGACGGTTCTGGCCCCATGATCTGGTTGGACGGGCTTGATCTCCCAAATTTTGTCCACTTCCCCGTACATTTCGTGGAGCACTACGACCAGCCTCGCTATCCTGCCGAGACGATCGATGTCTCCGACTCCCCAATTGTCTTCCCATGGAACAAGATGCAAGCCAATCTGGATGTGTCAAGCGAGAGCTGGATCTCGCTTCCATATCTCAAGCCTGATGGCCGAGAAGGTATGTTAATTGTTTTTCTTTTTTTCCCCGTTCCCTGGCTCATATTGAGCAAAATGACTGACTGGTTGTGTCAAAGTAAGCAAAATTCTGGGGGGATCTGCAGAACGCCTGAACAAAGGTAGTTCGTCACCTAAGATACAGGAGACGGCCTCATCGGTGTACCATGTCATTGAAGGCAAGGGTTATTCGGTGATCGACGGCAAGACCTTCCAATGGAAGAAGGGCGACACTTTCTGCATCCCGTCCTGGTATGAGTATCAGCACTTTGTGGATTCGTCTGAGGCAGTGTATCTGTATCGCTTTGATGACAAGCCCATGTTGAAGTCGCTAGGCTTTTATCGCACCTCTGAGACAGAATCGGAATCTTTGATCTCGGATTAGACGGACGAATTGTTAGACAGTCTCAATGCATAATGCATTGAGCTAATTATTTTGCAATTCACTTGCCGGACCAAAATGCTGATGAGTGTGATGTCTATTATCAATATATATTGTGGTGTGCAAAGTAATTAGTATAATAAATTGTAAACTAAGTTATATCTTTAAAATCGATATAGTTCTTAGGTCTCTGTATAAATCCGAATAAAATGTGACATCACGAGCAGTGCAGAGGAGTGTAGCTATAATAAGCAACATTTATCAGAGGCTCAAATGATAAAAAGAAAGGATATGGGAGTGCATGTGTCTATCACGTCTCATCAATGTGTACCGAACCGATCTACCCCCGGAGCCTCCGTAGCCCCGCGCTGTCCGGAGCCCGAGCTTGGAGATAATAAAATATAATCTGTTTGTCTTGAATGGCAAAGTACTCTATAATATTTCTTTCCTGCCATTTCTTCCATCTCTCATACGTTCCACTTCCAGCTTTTCAATCAAGATCAATCAAAATTCCTATACACCATGACTGTCTGGCAAAGGTTAATCCGCTTCGTCGCCACTGACGGCCGAGTGCTGCGCGGGGAACCCATTCTGCCCTCCGCCGACTTCGACCTGGGCTATACTACCGAAGCAACTAAACTCCAAGCCAAAGTCATCGTCGGCTCTGATCCCTACGATGTCTCAGGCAAGACAAAGGTCACTGATGAGGTCGTGACGGTGAAGAAACTCCTGGGTCCTCTGGCATCAGAAGATACGGATATCCTGCGTTGTGTCGGGTTGAACTACGCAAAGCATAGTACGTAGTCGTGAATCTCGTGAGCTAACCAGCAAATATGCACTGTAACATCTTTGGAAGACTCTCATCCCCTGATGCGCAAGTTTCATAGTCAAGGAAGCTGGTCGGTCCCCACCGCCTTTCCCATCCATCTTCTTCAAGCCAACGACCTGTATTGCCGACCACGACTCCGATGTTGTGATCCCTAAAATTGCACAAGACGACCAAGCAGATTACGAAGGAGAATTGGTAAGCTAAGATGTCGTTTTTCTCTTCCATTTCGTTATAATATAACCCCGGTTTGTTAGAAACTGCTTGTTCATACTTCGCCTTGTACTGCCCTGACGAGTTCTTTCGCATTACAGTGTCTGATCGTAGGCAAAGACGCCAAAAACGTCTCGCGCGAAGACGCCCTATCATACGTCGGCGCCTACACTGTCGGGAACGACATCTCGTCGCGGAAATTGCAGCGCGACCCCGCCTTTGCTGGCCGCATCCCGCAGTGGGGATTCTCGAAGGGTTTTGACACTTTTGCACCCTTGGGCCCGTGTCTAGTAAACCCGGACCTGGTCGGTGAACCCGCTAAGCTGTACCTCAAGACGATTGTGAATGGTGATCTACGGCAAGATGAGTCTGTGGGGGATCTGCTGTTTGATTGCGCGTATCTGATCTCGTATTTGAGTTCTGGAACCACGCTTAGAAAGGGGAGTGTGATCATGACAGGAACTCCGGGAGGTAAATTTGCACATTCGACCCAGAATTTGGAATTTCACTGACTATATTGTTTTTTGAAGGTGTCGGTGCTGGTTTAAATCCTTCGCAATATTTGCTTCCTGGAACAACAATGGAGGTTTCAATTAGCAAAATAGGAACACTTCGAAACAAAGTAGTGTTTGAATAAATCTGGTTGACGCTTTGAAAAGCTTAACTTAGCTTTAGTGTTAGTCCATAGGCTTATTTAAGACATGTCTCAGCTAGAGTAGATGTTACGAAGCTCTTATCGGCGCAGTAAAATTAGCTAGAATAATATCGTATATTCAAGAATTCTAAACTAAGGAGGAAAGAAGAAGTAGAATATTGCTTAATATTTGAGTAGATATAAATACTTAATAGAGCTAGTCTCGATCGAGCTTAAGGCCTCGTTTCATAGTTTCTTCTATAATTCACGAGATATAACATATATTATATAATATACGGCTTAATTATTATTATAGTTCGTAATATTACTCTCTTCTTTCCTTTAAAAAAAAATAGTTCTTAGTCTAGTAGCTATTTTCTTACTATTACTATTTAATTGCTTATAGTCGTCTTCTTTATAATAAAACACTTCTAACTACTTAAATAATATCTTTAGTAATCTAGGCTTATTCTTATATTAGAAATAATGCTACTTAAGCTTATTAGAAATATATTTAAGATTATTTACTAAGTACTATTTATTATCTAGATTATTATAATTGTTCTAGACTATATAATATTATAAATAACTATAATATTAGTAATAGTTCAAGACTTTTTAAATATAATACTCTTTATTCCTATCTCCTATAGGAAGGCTTTTTAACGATCCAAAAGGGGGGCGCGGGCCTGGGAGTAGCTCGTACCGCCCTTATATGTATAAACTTATAGTTAAAAAGGTTATATCCTAAAAGGCCTAGACTATAAGTATAGCTTCGTCCCCTTCTTCTTCTAGTTACTTGTTTTATAGCGTTAAATAGAACTTCTTCTTAGCTAATACTAATATACTAAAAGAAAGTACATTATAGAAAGAAGTAAAAGAATATTAATTATTAATTAAACCTGGCCTCTATTAGCTTATTAAGTAAGTAATCTCCTAATTAGTCTCTTAGAGCTCTAGTATAGCTCGCTTACTTAGTATATAAAAGGAAGAAAAGATAAAAGAGAGCTAAGATAAGAGAAAGAAGAGAGTTTATATATAAAGAGTTATTAAAGTAAGAATAAATAAGAAAGAGTCTAGTAAGAAGTATATAAGAGATATCTAATTAATCTTTTTATACTATATATTATACCTTTCTCTCTTTCCCTTTTTATAAGTACTAAGGTCTTTATATATTTCTAGTTTATATATTTCTAGTAACTATTTTTACTAAGTTATAATATTATAGTTTAAGTAATACTAATATATATAAGCTTAAAAGAAAAGGACTTAATAATTTATACTATATCTTTCTTAGATATTAGATTTATAGAGTTATTTTATATATTCAAATAAATAATTCTATAATATCTAATTATAAAAGTCTTATAGTATAATAGTTAGTACACTATCTTATCTTAAAACTAAGAGCTTAGGTTCGATTCTTAATAAGACTTATTACTCTAAACCTTACTATTAAGTCTAAAAGCTAAATAATTAAGTTTAGAGTATTCTTTTCTTTTTCTTTCTTTTTTCTTTTTAGTTCTTATAGAAAATATTTAATTTATATTACTAATTGTTTTACTATTATATAATAGTTATTATTCTCTATAATTATCTATTACTACTATCTACTACTATTACTTCGTGTAATTATTACTACTATATAGTACTACTATCTGTAGCTACTATCTATTACTATTATCTTTCTGCTATTATAATTTATTTATATATTCTAATTATTATTAACTATTATACTTTATATATTATCGAATACGCTCTATCAGAAGTTGTATTTAGTCTAGTGTATACTTAGTAAGTATACTATATATATATAATATACTTTCAGACCCTCTCTTAAGGAGGTAAACGACTAGACGGTAAGCTCGTATACGCGCGACCGCTGCATCGGGCAAGGCGCGCGTATAGGCCGGGCGCTACTTTCGCGAGGTATAAGAATGTTGTGTTATCTATCGCTCGCTCTTCCTTCTTTTTTATCCTTTTCTAACGACTATAAAGTCTCTATCTCTGCGACGCTTAGTACTCGCGCTTTATACGTATTCAGCTCTTCTGCCTAGAATCCTACCTCTTCCTACTAGGCTCTCTTAATCAGCTACGCCGTAGCTAAGACGATTACACTAGCTAAGTGCAGAGTACTTCAACTAGAATCTGCGATTGCCCTCTATAACTTCGATACTACTAAGTAGCTATGATATGGATCCCTCGTAGTTATACCTCGTATTAGCTAAGTTACGAGCTCGATAGCGTCTAGACTCTCTTGTAATCTATCTCGTCGTTGTACTATTACTATCTCTTACTGTAGTGCGCTTCGGAGGCTGAGACGCTGTAAATAAGGCCTTCTCTTGTTATAATATAATAGCTAGTCGCAGAAATGTCTCACGACGACGCGGCCTACTGTTACGAATACTCCTAAGAGGCCGCGAGGCCCTGAGAGGAGAGATCCTGCGAGTGGGCGCACTTTTGGAAACTAGGTGACTCCTAAGAGCGCGGTTCTCTAAAGCCTAAAAGCTTTTAGGAAATATAAGTCACTTAATTATAATTTATAATAGTATTTTAAGATATAGTAATTTAGTTATAAGTTTTTATAGTTAAAGTTATATAATAGATTCTTAAATCCTTAGATCCTTTATTTATAAAAAATATATAAGGATTTAAGGATCTAGGACTTTTAGGGATTTAAGAAATCTTAATATAGTAAGGATTTTATATAAGTAAATAGTATTTTCTACTATAAATAAAGGCCTTATACTTAATTTAAATATAGTATTATTATATATACTTAGTAATTTGCAATAATTATTAGTCTTAATTAGTAATAGCGCTCTTATCTACTAATCCACTAATCTTCGTACTTTTGAATAATACTAGTCTAACTATACATTATACTTTAAGTACTAATACTAATAGGTACTAGTATATACGTTAGATTAAAGAATATCTTCTATCTTAGGAAGTACTTAGAGCACTGCTATAGCAATACTCGCGCTATTAACTACTACTACTAGTAGTAAGGCACTCGTAGGAGAGATTAATAAGAATCTTAAGTATAAAAGTATCGAGTCTTTTAATAGTAAAAGGAATCGCTTTTATAGATTTCTCTTATAACTTTAATTATATATTAAGTTTAATAGAAAATAATTTAGGTCTGAGATTAAATAAGTTTTATAAGTTATAATACTCCTTAAAGGAAAAGCTATGAACTAAATCAAGGGATTCTTAGAGAACTACCTCTTCTAGAGTAATAAGGATAAGATTATTAATAAATAAAAAGTGAAAGATACTACTATTAAAATCTTTAGTACTTAGGAAGGATTTATTACTAAAATTAAGGTAAACTTTAGGGTTATAGATAAGAGAAGAAAAGTAGAAAGGGCTATTAAATCCCTTAAATAAAAGAGATTAGCTACTACGTATATTAGGGACTTCTAGTACTACTTTATCTACACGAAATAAGAAAATAAAATACTTAACTACACTTACTGAAAAGGACTTAAGAACTTCATTAAAGATAAGCTCCTGCGGTATAGCAGTACTATTAATAACCTGAAGCAGCTTATTAAAGCTACTTATAAGATCGATAATAACTAGTATAAGTGTAGTATAAAGAAGAAGGGGAAGTATAACCTGAATTATTACAGAATAGGGGAAGATAGGACTAGAGGGAATAATAACTACTCGCGTAGAATAAACTACAGGGATTCTATAAAACTAGACGCTACTTATAAAAAGGAACTATCGCTGTAAGAGTAAAATAAATACTTATAGAATTGAACCTGTTTTAATTGCGGAAAACTTAGCTATATAGCCCAGAACTATAAAGGTAAGGGGCGAAGAACCTAAGGATACTCGCTAGGAAAGTAACTAAATGCTATTATTTAAGGCAGAGGAAAGTATAATAGACTCATAATACTTAACGCGACTTAGGTATAGAAGGACGCCGCTGCAGAATTAGTATAGGTAACCTAAGAACTTAATATTAATACTAGCTAGGATAGCGATAGCCTGTCCTCGAATAGTATTAACTTATCAGATGTTTCAGAACTATTAATTAAGGAACGCCTTATATATAAAATTACTATAAGGGAAAAGTTAGTTAAGGAAGTTACTAAGGAAGTAGGCGCCCTATATAATTAAGACTATAAAGATATCATAAACTAATACCCTGCTATAACGGAGGTAGAAGAAGTTATTATATACTAGATAATTAAAAAGAGAATGTATTTAGAGTATATAATGCGAATTTATATTATTATTCGCGGATATAAAAACAGCTGCGCTGAAACTAATGCAGCGGTTCACTATAGTCAGTAGTATATAGAGGCCTTTATAAAGAATAAGGAATATATACCTATATTATAAGCCTAGCTCGCGATTTGTAAAGAAGAAAAAAGCGCATATAAAGAAGAGATATATAAGTTTTAGGGAGCTAGGGACATAACGAAGATTAATTACTCTTAATACATAAAACTTATATAATTGTTCTATTAGAACTATATATATATAGTTTACTACTCTAGTAAGATTAATAGGAATTACTAGCTATATTATAAAGGACTAATATTCTTTAATAATAAGAAGTTATCTCTCTTTATTAGGGAACTACTAATAGTACTTGAATCTTCAAAAAACTAGGAGATCTCGCTGATAATAAGCTACTAATAAGTATTTATAAAGAGCTTAGGATCTTATATAATAAAGAACTATATATAATAGGGAGAGGATAGTAACTCTTCTTAATTGTTTATATTAATAAATAAACACTTAGAGTAATAGTAGACTTTAAAGTATTAAGTAATTTCATAGATTAATAGATAGCTTTAAGCCTTAGGTTTAAGCTAGTTAGGAAGGAACGCTTATATTATCTATTTATATTAGATAGGGACGCTATCGGATTATTAAATAAGTAAGTGATCCTTTAAATTAATTAGCTAATTATAAAAATATTATAAGAATATACTAAAGATATTGAATTTAACATTATTAACTTAGGGATTTATAAGCTAGTACTTAGTATACTATAGTTATCGCTTTATAACTTTACTATAGACTAGTAAAAGAAATAAATCACTTTAGATTATTATTAGTGCAAAAGTAATTATAGGATACTTAATTAGGGAGCTGATACCCTGAAGTAAGAAGAGCTATGTACTACTCTCTTAATTATTAAGGACCTTACTTAGGCCTTCGCGCTAAAGCAAATACTAGTAGTATATAAGGAATATAAGTTACTATTCCTTAAAGGACCTAAGAATAAGGCTCTTTTAAAGTACTAACTATAAGATTATAAGATACTCCTGAAATTAGAAAAGGCGCTTAGCTTTAGATTAATATACTAGTAGTTCGTAGCAGAGCTACGATACCTAAAGGAATATATTAATAAGAACCTAATGAAAGAGTTTATATAACTTTTTACCTTATCGGCTACTAGCTTAATACTATTTATCCTAAAAAAGGATAGGAAACTTCACTTATATATCAATTATCATATACTTAATAGCATAACTATTAAGAATAGGTACCCGCTACCCTTAATTAATAAGCTACACGATTACTTACAGGGAGTAACGATATTTACTACCCTGGATATAAGAGGCGCTTATAATCTTATACGGATAAAGGAAGGCAAAGAATAGAAAATAGCATTCCGAATACGCTATAGCTTATATAAATACTAAGTTATATTATTTAGGCTTACGAATATACTTATATTCTACTAATAGATAATTAATAACTAATTATACGAATATCTTAACATTTTTATAATTACTTATTTAGATAATATACTTATCTACTCTAAAAACGAAAAAGAGTATATTTAATATATAAGGAAAGTATTAGCTAAACTAAGGACTACTAAACTTCTCCTAAAACCAGAGAAGTATAAATTTCACTAAAAAGAAACCTACTTCCTAGGATTTATTATTAAGAAATATAAAATCCGGATAAACCTAGTAAAAGTTAAGATAGTATTATTATAGCTTATTTTAATAATAATTACATATATAATATTCTTCTTAGGATTTGTAAATTTCTATAAGAGGTTTATATATAATTACTCTGTAATAGCTAAGGCACTTATAGAGCTTATAAAAAAGAACTAGGAGTTTAAGTGGATAAATATAGCGATAGAGGCGTTCCTTAACCTAAAGAAATATTTCACGGAAGCTCTTATCCTAGTTACTTATAACTTAGAACTAAAGATTATTATAGAAACTAATACTTCAGACTTTATTCTAGGGGCTTACCTAAGCCAGAGGCATAACAAGACACTATGACCTATTATGTACTACTCGCGAATATTCTCGCTCACTGAGCTTAATTATAATATACATAATAAGGAACTATTAGCTATAGTAGCTATATATAAATAATAGTGCTACTACCTTAAAGAAGTAAAATATATAATCTAAGTATAGATAGATTATAAGAATCTTAT